CCAATTTGCATGTTCGACAATATGAAAACAGTTTCTGAAACCAAATTATAAACCCACCTTAAACAGATCTCTGAAATACGTACTGCATGCTGAAAGTAGCATTTTGTGGGCACGAATACGCTTCCCTTCGCAACTAAGTGTCACATCTACTAAATCTTCATCACTCCGAAGAGAATCAAAAGCTCCAGTAATATGACTTAGGTAGTTATTCCACCGAAGCGAAAATTGCTGACTACTCCCCATTTTCTCACTAAAATTGAAATATTTTACAATAAGAACAACACATCATAATCAATAACTTCTTCAAAACAAATCAATGATTAAGAATAAACAAAAGGTCAAAAAGAAAGGTTCTTTCACTGTATCCTTCGTAAAAGTGTTATTTAAATATTATTAAACCAAAGTTTCATAAATTAATAGTTACTTAACCATAAGAATGACTTCAAAGAAAATATAAAAGATTCTCCTCGTCACCACTTTGTGGTTGCGTTCAAGTCGCCGACTGGAATATCAATACATCAACATTCAAAATGGTGGACAACGAACGGCAAACAAGAAGGTACAATTATGCCAAGATATACACATTAAAATTATTAGTGATGTCTTGTCCGCAAAATCAGTTCCCGTAAGCTTCTAGCACGCAAATACAACAAAAGAGACTGAAAAGCATATTAAACGAAACTAAATATCTGACAGAAATATATTTAAATACTAACTAAATTTTGCAATACAAAGAATATCAAATACTTACGTATACAATTTTAAAAACAGTGAGATCTAATACTGTTCATTAATTAAATCAATTGTGACCACAAGGAAACGACTCACAAATACTTAAACAATTATAATATTCACAATTGTCCGCAAAAACCATCAAGCTTTACCGATTACAGTTCTTGATTTTATTGGTTGGGTTGGGTGCATTGAATAGCTCAAGCAGAGAAGGGGAGTGGTAGGATATTCGCAGTTCTTCCTCCTGTCATGTTGCCATATTTGTCAGATTGCATTTAGGTCAAATATGAAACGAATCATAAAAATGCATTCGTTCTCATCAGATTACGATTTCAACTGGATCAAGAAAATGTAATTTTCAATAGTAAAACGGATCGTCTAAAATAGTACAACGCATAATTATTCCGTATTATCAACGTTTCCTCTACAGTCGGCAATTACTACTTTTTTTGCCTTTCATTTGTCATCTTTCGCAGAAATTGAAATAAGTCGTGTACAGAATAATTCTTACCACAATTAAATAATTTCCTCCTAAATAAATGTTTTTAGTTGGAATTAATAATCAATAAGTAATTTAGTACATTGAGTCGATAACTTTCATAACAATTGAAGTACAAATTTATTTGGAGAAAAGGGTCGTGCTCTGAAGAGGAGGAAAAACGAATACAATTACATAATCTTCAAATTAGGTATACAATACAAAATATTATATGCGGGGTGCTTGCAATACATCATATACGTGTACGAGAAGAAGATATGTCGGCTCGGTTTTCCCAGACTACATTGTCAGATAATGAACACAAACTGCTTTGCCCACGGGCGCATGCATCGCGTTGGATCCTGCTGGCGTTGACAATGCGTCACCGCATTGATCTAATCCAAAGAGACGCTTGTAGTCTGCTGGTCAAGAAAAGAAACCCCGCCCCTTTTGGATGAATTTTACTCTTCTCACACTACATTTGTACTCCAGTGAGAGACGTAATGCTGCGACAAAAAACTGCGATTTTTCGGCAGAAAACTTCGTATTCTAGATCCCTGAAACCCAAAAAGGGATTAATTCCTTTTCATACAAGTAGCACATTAATTCCTCTGACACGTAATATGCTCAGAATTCACGTTTTGTGAGTCCATCATACCGAAAAAGTGATTGAAGGCAAAACATGTCTGTGAACAATGCTATAGTGGCATTGGAGTAACGTTCGGGCCTGAAATGCGAGCGGGCCAAGTTAAACAGCGCATATTTTCAAGGGATATTTTTATTATTAACAAGTACAAACACTACTTGTGTTTGCTATTCAGTTTCATAAAGGAGGACCGGATAAAGGGTTGCGGGCAGGCCCGCACTCGCAGGCTATTATATAGTGGTCCCAGAAGTACCCGAATCAACAAAGAAAAAACAAAAATTTTGGGGGAAAAAATGTTTATTTTTCAACATAATCTCCTTTGAGCTATATACACTTTTCCCAGCGATGTTCAATAAGTTCGATACCCTTTTTATAATAAGAACTGTCTTGCTCCTCAAAATAGCCATTAACTACCGACATCACTTATTAATTGTTGGAAAATCTTTGAACACAGTCATTGTTTCAAGTTTGGGAACAGAAAATAATCAGAGGGGGCTAAATCTGGCAAATAGGGTGCATGAGGTAGCAATTCAAATTTTAATTCATTAATTTTGGCCATTGCAATAACTGATTTGTGAGCTGGTGAAACAACACTTTCTTCTTAGCCAAGTGTGGCCGTTTTTCCTTGATTTCTTCGCACAAACGTTGCAATAAGTTCGCATAATACTCGCCGTTGATAGTTTTTTCCTTTTTCGAGATAGTCAATGAAAATTATCCCCCACGCATCCCAAAAAACCGACGCCATGACCTTGCCTGCGGATGGAACGGTCTTCGCCTTTTTTGGTGCGCGTTTTCCCTTTTCAGTCCATTGTATTGATTGTTGTTTTCTCTCTGGAGTGAAGTGGTGGACCCATGTTTCATCCATGGTTATGAAACGGCGTAAAAATTCTGCTTTGTTGCGGTGAAACTTCGCTAAACACTCAACTGAAACATCTTCACGACACGGTTTTTGCTCGAGTGTGAGCAAACGCGGCACCCATCTTGCACACAGCTTTCTCACGTCTAAATTTTCAGATAATATGCGATGTACCGCTCTTTTCGAAATGCCTACTACGTCTGCTAGCTCCCACACTTTCAGTCGACGATCAGCCAGTACCGCTTTGTGGATTTTCTTTACCATTTCTGGAGTTGTCACCTCATTTGGTCGACCACTGCGATGCTAGTCTTGACAGCTCGTACGGCCTCGTTTAAACTCCGCTACCCAATATTTTACTGTAGTAAACGAAGGCGCAGACTCACCCAGAGTAGAATCTAGTTCAGTTTATATACTGGTTGGGTTGAGGCCTTTCAAATGAAAGTATTGGATCACGTAACGATGACCAATTTTCTCCATTTTTACAAATTTACTCACAACGTTCACTATTGATTGTTGCCAAACAAATACTAAACAACGTCATCATCATCATCATCAGCATCAAGGTTTGGGCCTAGTGGCCCGTTCCGCTCTCAAGAGTCTCTTTCCATCTTGTGTGGGGTCTGCCTCTGGATTGTTTCCCCTTTGGTTTGTATTCGAGGATAGTCTTGGGAAGCCGTTCTTGTGGCATTCTGGTTAGGTGTTCGAACCAATTCTTCCTCGTTGAGTCGATCTTCTCCAGTATGCTGGAGATCTGTAGTTCACCTCTGATGTCTTCATTTCTCTTATGATCTAGTAGTGTATATCAGGGCAGTAAGGTGGCAGCCCCACCACCAAACTATCCCTGCGTGGCGCCCGTAACGCAACCAGGGGAAACTTACCTTACTGACAACTCTCAAGAGAATAGCCGGACTGTAAATGAAGATAACAATGCTACGGAAAAGGATAAACGATCTAAGAAGACGGAAAAAACTAAACAACGTAACGTCTTCAAACTTGAAACATATGGTTCATAGATTGTCTACTTTCAGTGATTTTTTTCTAAACACTACCGCGATCTCTATGTCAGACCGGGTACTTCCGGGACCACCTCCGTATTGTAGAGAAAAGGAATCGCATAAAGGTCCTGCGATTTTATTTCCTTGACGGAATTAAATGTGTATTCTGTTGAAACTGTTTTTGAAATATATGTAGTACATCTTCATATGCTAAAAATTATATTATTTTGCATCTACAGGCCTCCAACAAAGAAAGCAGAAAATTATATTATTTCTTAAAAAATATTGAAGATAACACTAAACAAAGCAATAGTTCTTTTGAATCCATTGTTGTATGCAGAGATTTTCTGATCGAATCTTGCAAGATAGAGCAGTTTCTCAACTTAATTCATTCCTTCAGTTTAGATATTACAATAAATGTAGCTACACGCATACAAAAAATTTAAAGAAGGCTATCGATCAAATAATGATTAACAAAACCACTACTCGATATGAAATTGAAAAAAAAATAGTTGAACAATTGATTTAGGATACAGTGATAACGATGCACAAATTCTTACCATTACAAGAAATGCAAACACGGATGTGTATTCCCGAGTAGAATATGCATGCGCATTTATATCCACATTCATATCCGCATTTTTACTACCCAGCTTCCGCAAAAACCGCGCATCACGGCGTTCGATATCCCGCATTCGCGCAATCTACAGTGGCAATCTACTGTGGTTAGCATGTAGACATCCCTACGGCGTATTCCGGTCTCGTCAACCAGAGAAGTGAATTTTCTCAACTTTCCATAGCAACACATAATGGGACATAGCAAGGAAAACGCGCACTATAGTTTTCGCTCGACCGGGATTCGAACTCACGACCGAGGAGTGGAAAGCGAGCACGCTGTCCAAGAGCAAGCCACGAGCCATCGGTGTATGTATTGGAATACCATAAAAATGTTTCCTTTATAATTTCCAAGAGTTAATTGCTTTGTCATTTTGGCAACGGAAGAGGTGTGAAAAGTGTTCTGAATGGTTTCAAATTTCGAATCTTAATGCCTCATCGAAACAAATGAAATTTTCCAGGAAAGGTAGGTCACTGATATACAGTTTATTTACGTAACGTAAGGGGACATTGTTAAATCTGAGCCATTATTAGCTTTCTATCAATTTACTTAATTGCGTTTTGAAGGGAATCTTCTTTTACCATTGGTAGCACAAATCGGCCTAAATGAGATGAAAACATAAACAAATAATGATCGCTTAGGCCGCATTTCAAGATAGCTGCGCTGCTGCATCGAGAATGCAGAGCGTATCGGAGCACCTTCGCCGGCTGAGCGCGTCGATCAAGTGGGGCTCCACCCCAATCGATCAGGCGAAGGAGCTCCGAGTAAGTTGATCAAGTAGGGATCCCCGAGCAAGTCGATTAAGAGGAGGATTACCGATGAAGTCGATTAAGAGGAGGATTACCGATGAAGTCGATAAAGTGGGGCTCCCGAGCTAGTCGATCGAGTGGAAGATCCCCTTCAAAGTCTAAATAAATAGTTACATCTCCCAGTTTTCCATCACTTAAAAATATTTTTTGTTAAGTATTTTACTTTCTTCCGTATCTCTCTTTGTTTCTCTACTCCGTCTCACCATTTACGTGCGCTGTCCAATAGATGTTAGTCCCCTCGCAGGATGTGACGAAACGAGAAACATCTGTTGAATGGCCTCGCTTCGTTGGCGAGGTCATTGAACTCGCGGCCATGCTCTTTGTGCAAGCTGGGTGGTTTCGACTGCCGGAGATGTGACATTGCCTCTCACATCACAGGCTTGAGTTGTCATTAGCGTTTGTGTATTACTACCCCCCCCCCAAGAACCTTCCATATTTCCTCCTCTGATGCAATCATAATTCGGCAGCGGTCCTGGGAATCCCAGACGTCACGTGCCACGATTATGATGCGAACCCCGAAGCAGTGGTGGTGGTGGGCGGGGGGGGGGCGACGGCACGGCTGTGTTTCTCTACAACTCTTGCATGTTTACCAACAATGTTTATCCATATTTCACCCTGATTAAGTACAGCTGGGTAACTCGATGTGGTTTAGCAGGCCTAGCTAAACGAAGGCTCTCCCATCATATAAGGAAATAGTACGCAATATTGCGGTAGGGTCCAGCCCGTGACAGTCCGTGAAGTTGGAACAATGCGTGCGATGTTATTTCGTTTGTCATGTGTGTCGTGCGTTAATGTTGTTTCGTACTTAATGTGCGTTAAATAGACTACTTTGTCTAACCAGTGATCCATTGAAGAGAATCGTGAATTCGAAATTAAAACGCAAAAAAATAACTTTTTTGTGTGTGAAAGGACGCGACATGGAGAACTCATTCTGTTTATTTGTATGAGGGGATGAGTTACTTGCGGCAGGGAACAATAGTGAAATTTTGCGAAAGTTTCATTGTACTATAGCCAGGAATCTTCAAATTCCTTTAAGTGCTTTCTCCCATTCTGAGAAACTTAAGGTAATTATTGATGGGCAACCATTAACTATTACCACAAAACGGAAAAATTGTGTGCGACATTTTAGTTGTAAGATATATGAAAGTGATCATTGGTTTTTGCGGATGTAAGGTTAAAAACAAAAGTATTGTTGAACGATTTTCGGTCGAGCTTTCAATTCAAAAGGCTGTGGCCACTGTATTTGCCTCTAAACACCGGCCAATAAAATTCGAGTTCAGAAATTAGGTATATAAATTTTTTATGGCTAATTTTTTAGTTGTATTGTTTTGTTTATGTAAGTTAGTGCATGCAATGAAGGTTCAGAAGGTATCTAATTTTCCAAATAAACTTCTGAAATACATCAGAATGAACTACAATGACGCAGACTTAAATATTTGGAATTATTGGTTCAACCTGGAATATCATGATCGCAACGTCATGTCTACTAGCCAGGAGGCGCCACTGTAGCACGCCCTCTTTTACCTGGGCCCGTCCGCATCGCGGCTCCAGCTCCTTGCTTTGCACTAAAATTTCTAAGGGCCGGTTTCACCAACAGCCGACTAAAGTTAAGAGTAGTTACCCCAGAGTAACCATTTACTCCAAGATAGTAACTCTCGAGTAGAATATGATAGTAACTCTCGAGTAGGAATGAATTTTCTATAACTAGGGAACGAAAATGATTAGTTTTTCAAATGTTGCTGATCTCGTGTTTTTCTAAATTTTATTATTATTTGATGTTTTATTTTTTAAACTTATATTCACCTTTCAACTATTTGTAGTTAAAATGATGGAAAGGGATTCTGGAACGCAAGAAAACGTGCGCAAATCATCTCCCCCATACGTCACATACAGTTTTTACTGAATAAATAAATGAATATTTCTTAGTACTTGTAGTCCCTGTAGTTATTATTTTTCCTTTTCTTGTCGTATTCGGTACGTACTACCTTTATTTCGTATCTACAGGGGAGAAAAAGAACTTTAGAAGTTCTCTACAGTTTACAATGTATCTGATGAAGTTAAACAGCTGATTTAGTCAAACATAACCTCATGACAAAATCTCGATCGACATAATTAAAGCCAATCTATTATCTCTCGCACCCTTTGTCTTCTCAGTAGTGTATAATATTCCGAAACATTGCTGGAATCGTCTTCAAATACTATCATTCGTAATCGTCGAGCCGTAACAACACTTCGAAGGTACATGCACGCAGGGCCGGATTTACCTACAAGCAAAACAAGCAGTTGCTTGGGGCCCCCCATTCACCAGGGGCCCCGCGTTTCGGAAAAATACGCATACCATATTTTTTTTGTCTGTGATATAATTGTTAATCAAGTAGTCTACTGTGTAACAAAATGTACAATTTCAAAATATTTAAAAAAATATTTATTACATGTTAAATTAGTATAATATTAACTATACTTTATTTCCTCTACTAATAACTAAATATATAAATTTTTTATGTAAACCTCAAAATTTGCAGTGAAGAGCAGAAAAAAATTATGTAAAATGTATTTAATGTAAAAAAATGTAACACAAGTAAAAATTTCTATAAAAAAATATCAGTTTTCATTTGTATCTGTACAGAAAGTACTTGTACTATAATACATTTTTTATTTAATAAAGATGGAGCTATTTTTTCGGAGGGGGGGGGGGCAAGACAATTTTGTGCCCCACACTACTTAAATCCGACCCTGCATGTACGTTGAAAACTGAATTTACTCCGTACTTTACCCGACAGATTTTCGTAGTGTTACTCTCGAATATACTCTCGTGTAAGCGATTTACACTCGAGTAAAAGGTGAAACGCTCCAAGAAGTTACTCTCGAGTAAACATGATTTACTCCAGAGTAAACGCTTACTCTATGTTTGGTGAAACCGGCCCTAATAATGTCATTATTTGACGCGTTTAATTTTGAAAAGAAGTTTGCTGCGAAGTTTTTAAAGTGCTCTTCGAGAAGCGGTAGATTTAAAGTTAAGTGCAGATCTGAAATTCTAATATAATGTGGCGTGCACAGTATGCTACGAAGGCACACATTTTGAACTATTTGCAACTTATTCCAGTGCGCGTGCCTTGCTATTCCCCATCTTGGGCAGGCGTAGTCCAGAATGGGCCTAATCATGACTTTATAGACCAGCAGGCTGTTCGCTGGGGACAGTTTCCTTCGCTTATGTAATAAGTTTTGCAACATGTCCAGGCATTGCAATGCTTTGCTCAAAACTACGTCCGCATGCTCACGGAAAGTGAAAGCACGGTTGAGCATGATGCCGATGTACTTTGTACTGGCGCGACATTTAATGTTTGTGCAGACCCGAACGATACGCCATTGGCTATATGTATGATTTATTTAGTCGGGCAATTGACGTAAATCAGGTGTTGCGGTTGCATCCAATCGCTACAATGACGTCACTATGGGGATGTTCAAGTTCCCGATTGGATGATACCATCAACACGGTCTTATGGTAGGGGCATAGACTGAGGAGGTATATATCATTACTCTATGGTAGAGGCGTCGAGGATATTTATTAAAAAGATATTTAGATTTGATTTACTAGAATCCTTGTGACATTAAAAACAAGCTACAAAATAATTTTGTACCACCATACTTTCATATATTATTTATTTTTCTAATTAATTGCGGACTAATTAAACCTTTACCAATAGCCTATTATATTAACTTACTCATTTGTGTGGAATCTTTATTAAGCTTTATATTTAAAACTTATGCCCTTATATTAAACTTATTGTTATCACGGGAGCCGCGAAAAGTTTTGTTTAGGTCAAAGGAGCCGTGGACGAAAAGAGCTCGAAAATATCTAGGCTAAGGAATATTCTAACTAAATATTAGAACTTATTTTATTAAATTTTTGAACTTTTTCCCTTTGTTTATTACAAGTATTTTTGTTCATGATTCATGTGCGAATAGAAATGATTCAAATAAATGTGACACATTTTGGGTTTGTCTATTTGCGTTTGGAATATACTCGTACACCTATATAAAAATGCAATACAATAATTAAACCATTCCAACTAAATTTTATGTATCTTTATACTACGAATGAAACTGCAGCTGCAGCACCGTCTATATAACAAACGTAACACAAAACACAAACCCCAGAAGACTCTATATTGAACGATTTTCTTAAGAATGGGATAAAGTGACAGTTCGCAAAACAAGTGAACATCACGTGTACTTCAGAGAAGTAAACACGTGCACCGTCACGAGTACGCATCTCACATTCAAGACTCGATTTTAAAACTAACATAGTACTTATCACATAGAAACTAAATTCAATGTAATTTTTATAAAAAGAAAGAATTTTTACAGAAGAGCACAAAGCTCTGCACTTCCTAATTTCAATTATTTCTCGTGGCGCACTATATTTTCGTCGGACGAGGACATCACAGCCAGGGAGCGTCGTAACTATTTACAAGTTAGCCAACTGCAAACGAACGAAGGGAGGAAGGAGAGTCTAATAAGTGCAAGGACACAATGGCCACAGAATCGTCAATTGTGTTGCCAGCACTAGCTGTCAAATCATCCCATCCTTAAGAAAATCGCACAATACCATGTATACAACCTCAACAAATGCTCTTGGAAGCCTAAGCATAAAACATGCCAACAAACACATTCCCGCCAAAACTTATAAAGTCACTATGGGCGTCTGCAAAATTACTTATGTGAAAAATTACTTATATAGAGAGGCTCTCTAATTTTACAAGTAGCAGTTTTCAATAATACACTAAATATCTCTGTGTAAGAGAATTCCTTACATCGTGGTCAAGATTAACAAAAAATTCTATCACTTTCTATTTCGTGACAAGTTAATGGTATCGTTTTTTTACGTACTCTGCATATGTTAACGCATACTGTATTAAATTAATGAAAGATTTAAAATGCAACACGTACAAAAGGATTTTTATATTTTTCTGATTATATTAAATCATTTTACATGAGTGTGCAAGCTCTCAAATAGCGCGATTAAAAGATGCAAACATCTTCAGCATTTTGTATTCGATATGCAATTGTTTCTGTTGACAAATTTTAATTATTATTATTATTATTACTATTATACAAGTAGCTTCGTCGTAAACGTGTTTTAGTTATGTCAATACGTTCTTTTTTATTTTAGTATTCGAATATTAACTTTGTCATTTTATTTGAAAAAAGTTGGCTTTCTCTAGCCAGCACATTTCAGAACGCTGCCCAGAGACGTAAGTGGAGGGATTTGTAGCAGCCATTTTGTGCGTTGTTGCCGCCCGTTGTGGTGCATTGACGTTGTGCGAGTTCATTTTTTACCGGCGTTGGTTCTCAGATGTAACCCGTAGTTTACTTATTTGATGTGAGTAAGTGAAGTACAGGTGAAAAGGACATTAATACGAATTATCTCGTGTGCTGCTACAGCCACGAGTATATAATTTTGAATATTTGAAGGTACGGCTTTAAACTTGTTTATTCGTGGAATTGATGTCCTTTTGTATTTTCATTTCCTATTCCATCACTATTGCTTCATAGTGTACCGAATTAGCGTTTTGATTATTGATAGAATAAAATTTAATTATATATCCTCGACTTCATGCCGGTTGGGATTCCTGAAGGAATTGTGTAACGCCATTTTGGTCATAGCTTACGCTGTGTTGGTTTAGTGGTCGTACGACTTAATTTACAGTTTGATGAAACCGGTATGTGCTTGCGAAGTGATTTCTGTAAACAAATATTCGAATTTGAAGTATTGGAGGGAATGTTAATTACGTAGCATGGTGTTTTATTGAGTTGCAATTGTATTGTGCAACATTTGTACGTAAATACATTTTAAGAGCTCGTTTCGCTTGTTGTATCATCTGTTATTTTTCAGATAAAGCAGAGACAATGAGTTACAGTAGCTACAGAACTAGGTAAGAAGGAATAACACATCTTAAATCAAAGTATTATGTTGGATTGTAATTGTAATCGTAATCGTACATTTTTTTATTTAGCTCTGCTCCATCTCGGGGCAGAGGTTTCAGTACTCGTGGTTCTTTCCGTGGCAGAGGTGGTGGTGGTGAAGGTTCTAATAGCTCCTGGAACTCCACTTCTCCTAGAGGAAGTCGTGGGGGATTTTCTGGCCCTTCTCGAGGTCGTTTTAATTGGTACAAGGAACATTCATCAAGCTTTGATTCACGAAGGAGTTATGGGTCAGGTAAGTGGTATGAGTGTAGTTTTGTCGCTCTCTTTTGTCTAGAACATTTGAAATTCACTTGAATCTTGTATTTGTGAATTGCATGTTACTAAAAATTTATAGAACTTGCATAAAAGAATTAGTGTTAGTGTTTTCTCAACCAGCGTGAAACTTAATTCAGTATCAATAAACTGAATTTTTCAAAAACTCCTATATTTGAAGATATAACTCCTATATTTGTTCCTGATGAATAAAATTTGATGCCAAGTTTCTGTGTTTTTTACGTAGTGAAATAATAAGCAGTTAGTTTACATATGTACAGTGAAACTTGCTGAAACCGCCACCTCCATTAATAGCAGTTCTTTTTTGTGCAGCCAATGATTGAAAGTGCTAATCTTCTATTATGTGGTCCTATGACCCCATTACTAATGGTCTGGCTAATTTTAAAGACTGGCTGAAGTCTAGTATACAGTATATCTCGGTAACGCTTCTACGGCGGCAGCTGCGCAGTTTAAATTGTGGAGACTTTCTTGAAAAAAAAGATATAAAAGTGCAATGGTAATAGGTGTACAGGCTCAATGATGTTTATAGTGACTTGGATCCGGATGAGCGAAGTGAGAGAGCTTGCCTTAGAAAGAAAATTGGCATTACAATGCAGTGGGGACAAAGCTTATGAAGGGTGGGTCATGAAAATCACCTACCCCTAAATTATATTCATTTTTATCGGAGCATGTAGCGTAATTTGAGGGAGGGTTTAAGGAGAGACCCCCACCCTGCCGCCATACTTCTGAGGGTGAACAGTGTGCCCTCCTTTAACTCTGTGCAAATTACGAGGTCACTTCTTTCAGATGTACTTATTTTGAACAGTAACACTAAGAAGTAGAAGAATGGTGGTGTTGATTCTGTTTCTTCCTCTTATCAGATTTGTTACAACAGTGATATTTACAATTGCTTATTACACTGGTGAATTCGTTTTTATTTCATGTGTGAGGGGGTGGGGAAAATAGGGCTAACCGTAGTTTCCTAAATCCAAAATAAAGTTCTTAGAATGTCTCCTAAAAACTCACATTCAAATGCTATATAAATTTGTTCGTATAACTACACTGTGTGTAGAAAGTAGCAAGAAGTGTACACAAAATAGGACAAAATTTACCCTAAACTTATTCTTCTCGTGCTGACAGAATGTAGCGATATGTGGGGGTTACCACGATATTGCTCAAAGCCAGTCACATTAGTTGATATGTGGCCCTTTACCCTGTTTATTTGGTAATTGGAGAGTGAATGCAATCGGAAAACTGTCTATCTGTTGGAAACACAATAATAAGTAATTTCTTTCATACTCTAGTCTTCTCACAGTGTGGATTGTTTGGAAGAAACTACTCTTGGTTATTTGTTTATTTCATGTAATGGCAAGGACTGAGTTTTCAATGTGGATACTGATCCTACTACTGGTCAGAACAGTCTACTTTTGAAACTATGATCCTGACTGTCCCCCAGTTTCTAGAATTCATGCAGATGCTTGTTGTGTGATAATCCTTCCGTCTCGCTTTTCATTAGTGAAACATTTCATCCGTAAAAGAGCGTGAACTCTGAGTACAGCTAATCGAAATAAGACATCAAGGGTTTTTGAGTAATGGAATTGATGAGTGTTATGTGGGAATAAAAATATAGCCTTAAAATTGAGCTTTTGAAAAATTTGTGTTAATTACAATTTTAAAATGTAAGTCCTAATAAAGTATTAGTAATTGTCGTGTTAATAACACTTGAAAGTATCATAAACAAAATAGTGGAATGATTTTAATAAAATGAGAAAACACGAGGACCGAGACATAATTAATTACGTAATTCTTACCCGTTTGATACTTCCACTGGTGGTCTTATTTCTTCTAACATAAACATATTCATATGTTTTAGGGAGACTTATAGTAATAAGTACTAGACTTAAAAATATTTCATTGAATCAATTTAAACCAAAATATGCCATCATAAAAAGATAGTTCAATAAAGTTTTAGTAGTAACATAACTTTTTGCAACTCTGGTTACATGCAATCATGTAATATATACATTGATTTAAGTAATTAGAACTCTGTAGATCAACTTCTACTCTTTCCCATGAAGCATGCATTTCAAGTCCTAATAGACAGACCAGCAGTATAGATTACCTATTAGATCCCTTTAACATAATCCCATATGCAGTACTGATATGAATTGTATGATTATGGGAGGTAAGCGAAGAAGTTTTGTTAAATTATTAGGAAATTTTCAATAAGTAATCTTTAAAGCATTTTACAATCGGAGATGAAGAGTGTGATGATTATATTATAAATTATAGATAATGGTCTCATATAGTATCAAAATATATAAACAATGAATAAATATTTAGACATGTCTTATGACTTAAATAAGCAGTTTTGGTGTCACTTTTGAGAGTTGTGGTGACGTTCAAGCTCCTGATAGTGCCTGTCAACAGCTGATATACATGAAGTGCACTACAAATTAATTGAAATATAGTGTGAACTGTTTGAAAATGGTATTACAAAATTGAATTAATTTGTTTATGTGCATTTGCAAAAAAGCTTCTGTAGTTTTTGGTTTACTTGTAAAAGAGAGAGGACACTTCATACTTACCTTCATTGGCAACAATGTTTTAGGCCTTACTGTCTTATCCTGTGGTGGTTGGTGCCTTTAATTAAGAGATGGTCTGCATGGAAAATTAGAAAATGAATTAGCTTTACTTCTTATAGATGAGCTCCATATGGCAAGTTTTCGATGTTGGAAATTCATTTGTGAACCTTCCATTAAAATTATGTTGTTGATAACTGCAATTTCTTTATATAACATTGCTAGAGTGGTCAATGTTTCTCGAGAAACATCGCTCTGACTCGCTGTTTGTTGTTGGTATAGTTGCCAGAATTCTCAGGATTATTACAATTGTAAAAATTATGACATTGATTGGTTGAAATAATAAAATGAAGTTGATTTGCTGTTGATTAATTTATGAATTCTAGTCTCGAATAAACAACAGAAAGTGCCTCGTTTCCCTTTATCAAACCTCTTATGACTCTTAGACATTCTCTTATCTCTTCTTCTTGAAATGTTGAGTTTTGACATATATTGTACACATTTCTGACATCTTTTCACACTCATTGAACGCATTGCTTGTCAGATTATTTCTATTGATTTAACAATAGTGGCTGACAGGCAAGGCGATTCAGTTCTCCATTCAACTTCAAATTCTTCTGTCACTACAGAGTTGCTGATACTTATTAAGAAAAAAATGAAATTAACTGAATTAAATTAATGAAAGCAACAAAAAATGGATAAGCGCCATTACTTATTTTGTTATGCATTGTGTGTGCTGTTCTGTCATCTACTGTTGTATGCTCTTGTTGAGATTTTTTTGCTGCTGATGTGAGAACTTTCCCTCTACTATGTAACTGTCGCCTGAGTAAGGGACATTGCTGTAACACCCCCCAGCTGTGAAGCAGACATAAATATTTGGTCAATAACTTGAGCTATTCCCATTTCTATAATATGGGAGGTTTTTGGTTTGCCGTTCTGAATAGTTCTTATTTATCCTTCCCCATTAACGTTGTAAAGATAAATTTGTATGGGTTTTGTTTTATGGTCAATGCAATGGTTTTTGTTTTATGTTGGGGGTCACCTGGAGGTGACACGGGGTGTTGTGGGATTAGCACAAATGAAGTGCACTAAAATGATTTAAGCATCTGCATCCTGTATATCAAAAGGACTTTAATTTAGTGGTTCCTTTTACATCTTTCTACAGTAAAATCTGTCTACATCAGAACCTGTAGAAGTCGGAATCCTGTTTTCACCAGAAAATTTCTCTGGAAACAACTGTTTTTCGTATCCAATAGGGGAAAATATCTTTATAAAACAGAATTCCTGTGAATGTAATGTGACTGGCAGAGACGCAAGATATTATTTATGTAATAAATGCATCTGTTCATCATCAATGCAAATTTGTTTTAAATAAGCGTGATTTAGTTGTGGCAACCGCACTGTGAAGGAGAGGAGCTTTAGTTGACAGGGTCGAATTCGGCTTTGGGGTCACTTGTGTGTCAAGGAGAATCCCCCACTGCCTCCTCCTCCTCCTCGCTGATCGTGGGAAGGTGTAAGGTCATGGCTTCTATTTGTGCCTCCCCCCTGCCCCATATTCTAAATCACACTGTGTGAGAGTTAGAAAATCATAGTACTCTGGGCTGTGACGCAATGTGTGTTGAAAGATTGCAAGCAGTCCGATTTCCACCGTTAGGCGGTAAAGTGGTGTGTGTTTTTAAGAATGTCGCAACTAGTTTAACAATGTAAAAATAAAAATAAAAAAATTTGATGAAACAGGTCAAACTTGTGGAAGGAGGAGAAACTGAAGTGGTAAATTAAGAATGTTTAATATTCATTTATCGGTGCTTTCTTCCATTAATACATGATTTATAAATCTATATTAATTATCATAATAAAATCATGTAATTTTTACTTTACTTTAATTACGTCTTTACTTACATTAATTGTTTACAATGCTAGTTTCAGAACGGAAATATCAATATCACAAGTGTTAAATGCATTGTGCATTGTGCAAGCTGCATAGAAGGGAAACCTCCCTGAACCGGAACTTTTTTTGTTCCTATCAATTCCGAGAGACAGATTTTACTGTATAAATAAAAGGAAATGTGGGTATGTGTGTTGCTCATACATGGAACAACTACTTGTCTTATTTGGTTAAAAATTGTCCTCTGTTATTAATATTTGATAATGGGACTGTGTAAAGTGTGGTTTGAATTAAATTTCACATATGGTGGTGTTGTTGATTTGTACATTTCTGACAACTAAAGCGCCCATGTACCCACCGCAACCCGCTACACAATGAAGGATTATGTACATCTTAAACATAGAAGTGTATTCTGTATCTGCAATTGTGAAATTTCAGCCAGAATTATTACTAGAGTCTGGGAGAAGTAAATCAAATTTCACAAGTGTCATAAGGACGCATGTTCCAATGTGAGGAATAACGTTTCTCAGTAGGGTACTTGACAGCAATGTCCATGAGGGCAGAGAGACTCTGTTCTAACTCGATTAATTATTTTTGAAAACCATACAATTAACAATTATTAAAAGGAATATTTCTATTAGATATGTTATTTCTTTATTTAATGCAATCAAAGTAGTATTTTATTACAGCTTTTTGTGTGACAAAAGCGCTTGATTACAGTTTCAACTTTGTTACACTACTTCATCTTTTTCTTTCAATTCTAACTAAGGTATTGACTTAAAATTCAAACATTTTTTTTATTTAGTTAAATAGATAACAAACATTTAGCAATAAAATGAACTGAAAATAAAAATGTTTGTAGTAACATATGTGTCTAACAGAGGGCTAATTGACCCCACTATCACAGGCATGTTATCTACGGGACCACTCCAAAAATTCAGTGTAATGAACCTGTAGAGTAGAATCTAAATAGTTGTGACTGTTCAGGACCAAAGAGAAATGGAGGTAGTGAGAACACCAGTATCCACACAACGGGAAATGATTGAAAAATAACCTTGAAAATTTGTTGTGCTCTCCCATACAGTTTGCCTGTCTACTGTGCTTTATGCAATTCTGCCCCTGGCAAGTATCAGCTGTTGACAGTTTCATCCAACGTGACATCACTATGGTGACATTAAAGCTCCTGATTGGATGAAACGGTCAACGGCTGATACCTGCCAGGAGCATAATTGCACGTTAACAATCACATTTACAGTAGTAATAGTAGTAGTAGTAGTGTGTGGGTGTATGTGGTAGGCAGAAAATAAATATTTTTTACATTAATTTGTATTATGATATTTTCCCCCACATTCTAAATGAGGTGCTACTTTGTCCTACTGCCACACGATTTTTGTGTTAGTGGCAGAGACTATCTTCTCCGAGAAAAATCTATTTTAATATGGTTTACCTCAGAATCTCTTATTTGACTCGACAGTGGTTCTGGCAGCAGGAGACTTTAGAGGTGCCTTTCTGTACATACCACAGTATACTTTGACATACGCAGTAAGTGAAGTCGGTGGCATTTTGACTGTGCTTCTCTAAAAGTCAAGCATGATATTTGTTTTATGTTCAAAGAATGTTGGTTTAACATTCTCTGCCCGAAGTCAGATTTCATTGGTATTTTCAAAACTATTTCTTCGTGTGGTTGATAAATGTGTCCAGCACTGGAATAATCTTTCGTCATTCTGTGAACTTTAACAACACAGTTCAGAAATCAGTTGGGCGGACCTTTCATGTCCTTTAGTTTCGTTACCGATTTTTTCATCGTTGAACAGAGCAACATCACAAAGTAATAAAAGAAAAATTTCATTTTACTAATGCTAATCTTTTGTGTCCAAACTCTCATGCACTTTAGGCTGCATTTTTTTTTTAAAGTGTAAGAGTGCAGGACACCTGAAGATCTCACCATAGCATTGATTCTTATTTGCAGTTTTAAAATTGCAGTAAAGAAGTCATTGTCTATTTGAACTTAATTTATCTTCCAATAACTGTGGAAGGAAAGAGCAGAAGTGTATGATACAGCAAAATTACTGCAAGATATCTGGAATAAATAATAAAAAAAATCCCTAGTAGCTGTGGTGCCAAATTTCCGTTTCAAGACATTGAGAAGAAAGGCTGAGATGAGTTTGGTATCGCCTTCATTTTATTTATTTGTTTACTTTTTCCTCTTATTTTTTTCTTTCCATCATTCCTTCAAGGAAAACTTCAATTCTTTATAGGATTTTGGCCAGTCTAAAAACTTAGCATAAGGATTTTTGAAAAATCGTTTTAAATTTCGTTATCTGCGCTAGAGTAAGTTCTTGTTGAAAAAGTCTTTCTCACCACTTGTCACCGGGAGTTTTGATCATTTGGTTTTAACAACTTCAATGTAATTGTTGGAATTAATATTTTCACCAACTGGAACAAGTGATCTAGAATAGAGAACTACCCCAGAACATTTTCTTAACCATTTTCCATATTGATCAAGGTGTTTTGGAGGAGGTTTCTCATTGCTTGCTTTCCTGATCCTGTTGAATTAGGAATGTTACATCTGAGATTGAAACTTCTCAATCTTTTTCATTTTGTCTTTGTTTTGAGACCCAAGATAATCTTTTCTACATCATTGGGAACAGGTGTGACTTAGAACAGCCTTACTCCCGGCATCCAACAAGAGTCGTAAATATGATCATACGATTGTGAAAAGTCTCTTTGTAGATGTAAGCTATTGGTGGTGGGGTTTTCCTTTGATTTTTCTTAGCAAAATGAGTCATCCCTGTTAGGTTTGCATTTTCTTTCCCCTGCTGCTTTGCTGGGATGACAGCTAGTCTCATTACAGTTAAATAATTCTGTTGACTACTCCCAAGCTATCCTTGCATAGTGTCTGTTTGTTATTAGGGTGACACTCTTACTATTTTTCTTTGTTGCGAGATCCATTGCTTACATGGAGTGATGTAGGTTCTAACTCTTCAGTTTTTAATGTTCATGGAAACTTGCATTATCATATAATTAATCACAAACCGCTAAGGAACTGAGGTTATAATCAGTCAGTATGCACCTAAGTAGCTAAGTATGCTGTATTAAAAAAACCTTGAAAGTCAATTTTTTTAAAAAATTTCTCTTCACTATAATTTGCATTTGTATGTAGAAGACAACTATGGGGTTGATGCAAAAAATTAATTATGCCCAATCTTCAGTTTTTTTATTTCTTAGAATCTTGAAGAATAATTCTTGTGACTGCAATACCTCAGGATTTAATGTTCAAATACTTGAGATTTCTTGAGAGGTACCCAACAGTCGGAGACTTACAGATGACTACTATTCACTGACAATAATTTTGCCTTAGAATTCTCTGGAATTCAAATTAATGAAAGATAAGATGTTTAATGAATTAAAATTTGTTGACAAATTAAATTTGCCTATTTACAACAAAGCATAAAATGGTGAAAAGGCACTCTTCAGAAAGTTAGGATTAGATGTCATCCCCTTGTTTGGCAGAAATCTTTTCTTTATGGTTATTATTTTATTTTCTTCTATCAAATCGATGAACGTATATTTTGAAAAATTGTTCGTTTGAACATTATTTTCACAAGAGTACAGTCTACATGCAATTTTGAGGAGTGAAGTCAACACTAGAAAAATAATGAGTGGTTCTTTATTCTGTTTGTTAGTGTCCAGAAAAAAATTATTGATAATTCACAAGAGCAGCTTTTTACTTACACTTTTTATTGCTGTCATAATATAATGGTCGGTATTCCCTAATATCATTATCAGAATTTCTTGTCAGAATCATTATTGCTCTGCTAGATCCGCAGGCTAATTTTCTGTATTTACTGTTGAATGCATTTCTTTGTTTTGACATTTGTTTGGCATTGGCCTCGCTTTTTATTATGTGTAATGTCCATCTCTTAGTATTTTCTTCCTCTGTTTTCTATTTATTTCTGTATTCTATGTTCTATGCTTGTTCCTCCGAAATTTTCAAGCTAAAATTTGTTGTGCTATTTTATTTCCTGTCATAGCTTTGAAGATAATGCTAAAAGTTCACAGCCGCTAGATCAAGAATATTACGATACACATGCGCTGGCTGTTGTTGTAAGCCAGATCATACTGTATATTTTCTTGACATCTGACCTAAGACATGAACCGTAAACTTTCTTCTATTGTAAAAGCTGTTTTTGGTAGCCTTTTTGAATTGTCAGAAATTTTTTGCTACTGAGATACTTCAAATCAGATTCAAATTAGATTAGATTCAAATCAACGACCTCTACTGGATGGGCACAAGACACAAGAGTAAACTTTAGAGTGTATTATAGCTTGTGTGTTTCAACTGCTGTTTGAATTTAATTGTTTGCTATCGGTTTCAACGGTTTTTTGAATTGAAGTTAAATGTGAATAACCAAAAATGCGTATAAAACTTCTCAGAGCAACATTTTCTTAATAGCAGTCAAAACTTGGTATAAGTATCAATAATGATGAAACTAACAATAGGAAATTACTATAATAACACATATATCATTTATAAAATGTCTTAGGAGAGCTCATGGACTCTTATTAAAATTGAACGAATATCATTGTGGTAAAAGATCATGTAAAATATAAAAGCAGTCAAAATGACTGCTCGGCATTTCTAGTGTTACAGTATTGTTGAAGTATTGATGTTTTGGAATCTCTGCAAGTACAAAATATATAACAGTGAAGTTTCTTATGTCTTGGAAACTATCTTGATTGCAGGTGGATTCACTGGTGGTGCTGGGGCCAGTGGTGGAGCTGACCGGTACTCTAGCCGAGGAGGCAGAGCTGAGGATTCGTATAGACGATCATATCGTGGAGTGAGTTTGTACTTAGTATTGTTTGTGTTTAGTTAGATGAATCTTTTGGTGATGTTCGCTAGAAAAATGTTAATGTCTTGACCCTTCTGCAGGATGTATCAGATTACTCATCTCGAGATCATAGCCATCACAGGTCTCCTGAGTCTCAACGTAAAAGAATGAGGACAGAACATTCATATGTACAGGTAAAATGACAATGTCAGGAAAAGAAATTTGAGTATGACAGGCTGAAGTGGAAGGGCAGGCCGTGTGTGAGTGATTACGCTGGCATGGCTTCAGGAATGTGGGTATTGTAATTAAAGGATTGAGCAGCTTAGGTAAAAGTTTTGATTGTTACGTGGTCCTAATTTTGAAAATAAGTTGAAGCATGAGGAAGAAATTAATGCTGAATAGCATGACAAATGATGTTTCTTCCTTACTTATGCTGCATGTAAGAAAAAAGTCCTCTTATCAGTTATAGAAATAAGCCCTTAATTAAAATATAATTTAGAGCGTTTAACCTCCGCTGAGAGAAAGTGACCAGCCTCCTCGCACACTCGCGGCCTGCTGTGACTGCAGAGAATGAGAGCCACAGAACAAGATACTTAGAAATGGAATGGGTTTACTGATAAATCAAATTATGGAATCAGTAAACGTAAATTGAATTTTTAGTGTCTTGTCAAAGAGCATTTACAAATTTTGTGAGCATAAGCTCAGGGCCTTGTGTCAAGACACTGAATGAACTTAAGTACCCAAGAGGTCTATTGGAAGTGGTGAATTTCTAATAGTGTCTCAAGACATCTTGCTCTTTCTTCTACAAGAAATGTTTTCTTGGCTCTATATATGTGATTTATTTGTTGGATAAGATGATAAAGCTTGCCATGTGAAGCTGAGCAAGCTTTTAACTTAATGATTGATTCCACAGTAAAGAACTGAGAACAACAAATTGTTGCACACTAAGGCCATGTTCAAAAGGTGCTGTTGCTACAATTCTCACGTGAAGTTGTGTCCTTTTAAATTGCAGGACTTCAAAGAGACCAGTTGCTCAGACGTGACACTCTTCAGCTTGTGCTCAATGGGGTAGTCCTCCCCAGCACCATTGCCTATTTCCTTTGACCAACTTTGAGAGTATGGCTATGTTGTCGCTCATTGCATCTTTAACCCAGAGATGTATGCACATCGTCCAAAAGGGAATGCTGTTTTTGTACCTGCTGTTTATGTGGAAGCATTTTGATGTGTCATAAGGTTTAAAAGCTATTGTATGATAACCTTTCAGTATTGCAGAGAAGTGCAGAGAGCAAGTAATGATATCAATGTCATGGAACAGTAATGGTATGTAATGTTTTGGGTTTGCATACAGGCTTCATCTGGCCGCCGCAGTCATGAAGGTAGCTACGGGGGAGGCACAGACTACAATAGTCGCTATAGTTACGAGGACAAAGGGTATGGGGAGGACAGAAGCAGAGGGTACCGTGAGGAGAGGCGGTCTGCCGGGAGTTTCAGGGACCGCTCCCGGGAAGAGTATCCACACAGAAAGGCGGACCAGCTGGACTCAGGCATGCCTCCCCCCTCAAGCGGCCCTCCCCGCCACGTGTCCTCCCCCCGGGGCTCCTTCAGGGGCCGAGCGAGTAGCCGTGGTCCAAGAGGCATGTCGAGATTGACACTTGCTCGAGACAAGTGGCGGACGGATCCCATTCTCGCCAGGAAGAGAAGTGTTATGGATTCTTACTCAGTCCGTAAACGAATTCTTTCGTCCAGAGCACAAGCTGATTATCTGAGGAGGCTGAAGATTCAGAAGCTCCGGAGGTAATAGCTGTTAAAGATATGTTTAAAAAAGAATGAGAGAGAGAGATAATGGAAAAGAATAATTGCCAGTGTATGTTTCTTGTTGAAATGAAGTTTCAACTGAATGGGGAATTAGAAAACATTATGAAATGCTACAGTTACAGTACCACAAAAGTTATTTGTGAAGATGGAACAACAAAAGTAGAAATACAAAGGCATATTTGGCTGTATGAATGGATGCCAGTAAATCTGCCCCAAGCTGTAATTATAAATACCTTACCAGCTCGGTTTACTCCATTTCTTCTTGAGACAAATATCCATTCTCTGACATGAGAGGATAGAACAACGAATCTATACACCATTATAATTTAAATTGCATGTAATTTATTGGATGAAACGGTATTGACCATTATGAATTCAAAGATCTGCTATGTAGCTGAGAGAAAAACTTAATCCTTATTTCAATTTTCTTTTTACAATCTGGAGGAATAAAACTCTCGACATTATATATTGGAAGAGTTCCTCTCTCATGATACAAGATGAACAACAAAATTATACAAAATGGGTGAACTGATTTTATTCATACTAGGCAAATTATTAATGAAAATTTTAAATTTGTTGTGGTTGAGAGGTGAAGAAGCATGATAGTTCTACACTTTCGTAGTTTTAATCTTTTTCTTTTTTAAAAAAACAAACTAGGAGTAGAAAGTCAAATGAGTTACATGTGTAGGTTCTTGTCATCTTTGTATGGTAATGATTTCTTATGCCTGGCTAGGATGCGTGAACTTGCTGCTAAAAAAGAAGGCAAAGGTGATAAAGATGGAAAAACTGCCGATGAGATCAGTGACGGAGATGAAGAGGAGGATGGTGAGTTGGGAGAATTAGAAGATTGGGATACTGAAGTGAAGAAGGTAAGAGTGAAGCAGTTTTAAGGAATGTTCATTAATTGTTTAAGGAATGAAAATAATAAACCTCAAAATAAGGGAATGGGAAAAGTAAAAATTGTTTGTAATATGCAAGATGTAATATGTAAGATTTCATGTAAAATTTTTGAAGAGGGTCAAATTTCATTGCTTTTTCTTATGAAATACCTCTTTAAGACCATAAGTGGAATTGCATCAATGAAGGGAAGTTTTTTCTGGATTTAGCAACTATTTATTTTTTAACAATTTTAAAAGCTAGGGTAAGTAATTATACTATTGGTTGCGTAGGCTTCTGTGGCCGGGTTTGTGTTGTCTTGGCTATCCAGGACGAGACGCGTCACTGACATGGTGGCTAACGTGTGATTATCTTTGATACCGATTACCTGGCTAAAATAATCAAGGAAATGTCAAGATATTTTTATTTCCATGTAAAAGTTATTTTTGAACTAATTAAAATAAGAAATTTGTCAATTAGTATTTAATGCTAAAATATGGTGTTGTGAGAAAATTGTTTTTTAAATTTTGTTTGTCAATTTATTGAATGTTGGATAGCTGACAAAATGTAGCTTTCAAGTATTCATTGATGTACACATCTGTCAGTGGGCCATCCAGCATGGAATTATTATTATTGTTATTATTATTATTATTTTTATTATTATTATTGACTATTGATGCAGGAGGCATGGCGTAAGGAAGCTCTTTAATTTGTAGTTGACAGTGGAATTTTCTGAGTTTTTATGGAATCTCCAATACATCTTTTGTTCCAATGGGTCTCCTTCAGATAGTGGTCTATATCAATACTTTTGTTTTAAAGGATTATGCAGTTCTTCAAACTAGTCCGGACATATGACTGATAGATAAAATACGTGCTGAAAAGATTTCAGTTCCACATGCAGTACATTAAAATCCAATCTGTTTTTTTCCCATTGAGTTCAATGGGCCCACTTATTTGCATAAATACAGCTTATCTGAATTCATCAGTTTAATTTTTCAATACATTAAAGACCTGTAGAATATGCATGTAAATGACACCAATTGATCATGAATTTCATGTATTCTATTCACATGCTATAGTGAACTTCAGTGCAGAAAATAGCTCTTCATTTGGCAGGTCAATAAATTTAGAAGTAGTTTTGAGAGGAAATTCACGTTTTAAATAAAAATGAAATTGTTTTTGTATGAAAATTGTTTCTCATTGTAATAATGAAGTACTTAGAGAATTAGTGTTCTTCAAATACAAAAGCACGATACACATGGTATTTATTTATTAAATTTTTATAGCATATAATTGTTGAAAGCAATTCACAGTACTTTTTTCCTAATTTTCGTGTGATCATATCACATTTAAGTCATTTGTTTTTGTGATTAAATGGTCTACATCTTGGAACTATTTTTTAACTGTTTATAAGTAGTTTAATGTCCACTCTAGGTAAGCAATATGAAAAATGTTATTTTATTTCTCAAAATTATTCATTAATTAAATTTTTCATTTATAGTAATTAGCTAAAATACATATGTCTATTACAGAAAGTTACATGTTTATAGATGTAATATTATGAACGCATATAGTAAATTAATTAATCTGAAATTTTTGCGAACTTGCTTTTTATATTGTCTAGTTACAAACTTGGTTTCTTTAATTTTGGAATATTCCATAAATGTGCTCTACTACAGCGTATTCTCATAATAAATGTGTGTTGCATTAAATAATTAGGAGAAGGCCATAAAAATGAAATTTGTGGGTGATTTTTGACTGAAATAATGTAGTGGTTTTCTTCTTTGTTTTTGTTCTTTCTCTGTTTTCCCTTACCTTCTTGTCTGTTATAGATTTCTCCATGTTAATTTCAGTAGTTGGAAAATATATTGGTAGACCAGGAAAAGTAGAGGGAATTTGTTTGCCAAGTTTTGTTGCCAGCTTGGTTCCAATTGATGGGCTTAGTACCAGGTGGGGGCTAACCCACATGTGATGCAATTGGAGGAAACGATTTATTACAACTTAATTTTCTTAAAAATGTTCTATTGTTTCACTACTATTTTGTGTTCCATATGTCCTCCATTTATTGTACATTGATAGAAAATTTTAGAAATTGAAAAATATTTATTTATTTACTTCTATTAACAAAAATCTTTTTGGAAAATGTCAGTGTCACTAATGAATAATTTCTAAGCACTGTAATTAAAGCGTTTGAAAAGTTTCCAATATTGATTTTTTCAACATGTTCATTGGAATATACACTGCTTGTTGCTGTTAAATCATAAAACTATTGGTAAACTGGTCAGAGAAAGGTAGTGTGGACTATAGGTCTCTTCGTGCAGCAGTGTCGCTTCCTGCAGGAAATAAGGATGGTAGCCCAGCCATTAATATAGTAATATAAGAGGATACCACTGAAGGAGCTCATTTTTTCCAATGCATTTTGTTTCTTCCCTCCACTAGCTGTACCATTTACCTCAGTTTTCTCCTCACATGGTGTAACATTGACATATTCCATCGTACATTAATATGATTAGCAATGGAATTAAATAGGTTTCATAGTAGAAGATACAGTACTACAGTAGAAATTGGTAAATCTGAAATTTTGGATAATCCAAAGAAAATTCGGGATGGAGGGGGGGGAACCAAAATAATAAAATGCTTATTTATAGTATAAACAAACAATTTTATTATTAGTATAAAACAGAACTAGTAATTATTGAAGTACAAGTTGAAATGAAACATTTATTGCAGTGGTAACTACAGTGTATATCACCTATTTATGTAGCGGTAATTTTCAATTAGAGGAACTTGCAGTATTTGTTATCTTTTGCTGTAAGGTTTTTAGATGCAATGTTATGGTGTGATTGCTATGCTACGTTACAATTTTCTCATATCACACACTGCGTTCCATTGTCTGGTCCTCCTATGGATGTATTTGCATATGTATGGTATGTTTTTTTAGATAATCCAAATCCAGAGGGGCCACACCCCCAATTAATTTGGATTACCAGGGTTCTACTGTATTTTAAAACACCATTCAGTTGTCAACAATGCTGTTTCCATCCAATCATCTTAAGTGGGATAGTTCCCTCTGTCACTGAGTTTTACTAAATCACAATGCAACGTCTTGTAAAACTGCCATTAGATGGCAGGTGGGATAATCCACTTACACCACCTTTTAGAACTCTGGAACAGATACTATGAGCTGTTTAAATATCGCCG